TAGAAAACTATAGGCCAATATCTCTCATGAATATTGATGCAAAAATCCTAAATAAAATACTGGCAAATAGAATCCAACGATACATAAAAAAATAATCCACCATGACCAAGTGGGATTCATAACAGGTATGCAAGGATGGTTCAACATAGCTTATGTTCTTAAGCCTTTCTTCATGTGTTTGCTGACCATCTGAATGCCTTTGGTGAAGTGTCTTTTTTCATGTTCTCTGCCCATTTTTAATTGGATTGTTTGCCTTTTCCTTGATGAGGTATTGGGTTTTTTGATACATTTTCAAGATTAAGCTCTTGTCAGATATGTATTTGACAATCCTTTTATTTTTAAAGCTAGATTCCTGGGAGTGAACCCTAGACTCATCATTGCTCAGTGATTGGTCATTAGTTGTACTTAAAGCTGCTACAACTTCTGCCCATTGCAAATTGATCAGAGTGTGGCTCCCACATTCAGACACAGACCAGTGGCTCTCCAATACCTGCTCTTGTCATTCCTGAGTTGATGTAGCACATAAGTAGCCTTCCAGGGCCCTGGGGATGAGAGTCATGTTAAAATGATTTTTCTTGGAAGTACCTGTCGTACTATAAGGGAAAGCCTAGTGACATAGTTCATAGGAGGTTGTGTTACTGACCCAGAAGCCTCTTTGGTGGTTTGGAGTACTTGGAAGAAAGAGCTACAATCTCCTCTCATTCATTTTACAGGCTCTGAAACCCATTGGAGTTTCCACTGAGTTGGCTCAACTCAATGACTGTAAATTTGAGTGGAGTCTCCCCCCACCACTGTGAATCTCATGTTAGTAGCTGTTTGTTTAATCCCTGTGCTTCTTTCCAGTCTCTTTGTAAAGGATTTTCTCATAATATAAAATTATATAATAGAGTGAACATCAAAATGAAAAGTCATCAGCAGAGCTTCCAAAGTAAGACAGATTAAGAAGGAGGGTCCGTTAGTCTTTCTCAAAAGCCCTGGCTATTGTACATCTTATGAATAGCTATAGAACATAGTCTGAAATAGGGAGAGAAGATGAGCACTGTTGCTGAGTTGGAATCAACCCACAACTGACTCACTATTGGTTTTCTGAGAGTATAAATTGCATGGGAGGAGACTACCCATCTTTCTCTAATGGATTTAAACTGCCAAAGAGGAATTACCTTTGGGTTAACAACACAACTGCCTACACAGACTAACCCAGTAGAGTTCTCTGTTGTATAGTATAGCTCATAAAACTCATGTTATTGGTGTAAAGTGTGGTACATGTATCTTTTAGTCCCATTCAGGACAGGAAGGCACACATGTTGAGGAAGAAGACCTGTGTATTGTACCATCCGTGGCTTTAAGTATGGGGCAACAAAGTGGCTTCCATAGTATTCTGACCTTGATGGTTACAGAGATCTACAGAATAGTTTTTGATTGAGATAAATTAATCTTGCCACATTGCCATGATGGAAGAAAGGGAAGCTGTCCAAAGTGAATATATGATTAGGCGTCATACATTCAACAGCAGCCCAGATTAAGAGACAGATCATTGCAAAGAGGGATGGCGGGGGTGGGGAAGGTAGATAATTGTGCAGCAATGAATGAATTTTTTTTTTAAAAGTGATCTGGGGGAGGGGGAAGGGAGGGTGAGAGGGTAAAATGTGCAACAATAAATGAAAGGAAATCTAACTTCTCTGTAAATGTTCGTTAAAATTACAATTAATATTTTTAAAAAAGAACAGTTTTTAGCAAAAAGAACAGATTATATAATACCTGCACATGTTGATGAATATCTGATGAATGTAAATTAAACACTGAAAGCTGAGAATAAAGTCATTAATAAAACAGATGTGGTCCTGTCTGCTTGAGGAACTTGGAGTCTGGTAGGATAAGATAGTAATAACCTAGTGCAGAAAGAGCCTGTGAGCCACCACTGGCCAATGCTTGGGTAAGGGAGGCATTCAATTTGGGGTGAAATGATTCTATACTTGAAAAGTCAGTGATGTTTTCTTCAAAATTGTTTTTGTTATTCACTCTTCTTAGTTGTTCTTCCTATGGCTATTGTGGTTAATTGCAAAGATTGCAAAAGCACTTCTTATGTTTGTCTTCTGAACTTATTTAAAGGGTTCCAATTACTTTTTAAGGTAACCAAGGTGAAGCAGTATTTTTTTCTCTCCAAAAATAAAAGGAGGAAAAGGAGACATGGAAATATTATTTAATAAATTTAATAAATTAATAGGAAGTATCACAAAAACCTGCAATGGGTAAGATACAGGAACAAAGAATAAAACAACACTTTGCAACCATTCACAAAAAGTACCATTTGACAAAGGAGAAGATTTACAGGAAATAATATAAGGCAGTCTGTTGCACGTGTCTTAAACAGATACACACACACACACATATATATATATATATATATATAATAGTACATCAAAATGATTGACTGGACAATAAATTCACCACATTTATATTTATCATATGTATGTTTTTAAAACATTTACAAAAGTTTGTAGATTTGACACCGAACTGTAAGATTTATATCCAAATAAGTATATTTGTTTCATAGCAAACTTCACAGATTTTACGAATAGCACACAATTTGAAGATAATTATTTTCTTGGATACCATTAAGTACTACTACTTGATGACACAGAATTATTAACAAATGTGCTGTAAGCTGTTATCATTCAACTTATTGCTAGTGCTTTTGAAAATTCGTGGTTTATATTTTATTTCTTTGTAAAACATGTGCTATGAGCTTGCCCTGATAGTTAGAAATCAGATGTTTCCAATTTTTTCTAATACTCAAAATCCTTCTAATCTGAATGAATAAATAATCTCTTTAAAGACCGCTGGAGGATTTCCTTTAGTCCTTTTTATCTACCATCTACCCTGCCCTACGTGAATATAAATCGATGGATTCATGCAACATACATGCAGGTCTCCATCTATTTGGGCAGAGCTCATGCTAAGTGCATGCTGTGTTTCTTCAGACATCTTCATCTTGGTAGGAAATAGATCAAATCATTCCATTTCATATAATTGTTTTAACATGCAGTTCAACAGAGCTAACAGGCGGGTAGACTTCACCTTTGTGTTATATTTTGGGCATGCTCAAGCAATTGGCTGACATTTGGCAGTGTTGTAAATCAAGTAGAGACTGTATGAGTTTCCTCAAATACAGCACCTCTCCCACTGCCCCTAGGACAGACTGTTGGATTTATCTATGCTGTGTGTTGAGGACACACACCAGGAATTTTAGAAATTCAGATTCTGCAGTCACCAGTTTTAAGAAACTGAGAGGCACACTCTAAGGTGTGCAAGTAACTGTCAGGCATAAGAAATAGCATCATGAATTCTTCAGAAATTTATCCACGGTTGTGTGAGATGGACACACATGGAAATACAGATACTGGAATCACTTGTATACTCTGCACACAGCATAGACCTAATGGTCTGACTTTTAGCAATGCTTGAAAACCTTGTATGGTTCACAAACTATTAAATGATACTTGAATTCTTAGAGAGCAGCAGGCCCACGAATGAAACAATGGCCAACATTTATTTTAACACAACACTATATTTTTAACAAAGATTTAAACTTCTGGTACATAATTGCAGTACAATGAAGAGCTTGCCACGTTCACAAATTAGCTGCAGCCTTTTCCTGCACTAGAGAGTTTGGAAGGATCTGAAAATGTGATCAATTTTGTTTAAAATCCAAATGGAAACTCTGAATTTCTGTTTTTATTTTCTCCCAGAGTTCAGCAAAAGCTTATTTTTAATTACTTTTTTCACATTCTAAGGGCTTAGTTCCGTAGTCTTTAATCAAGTAAAACTTCCAAGGTTTTGATTGTCTAAACTTTTCAAAACAAGTTTTACTTAAAAATGGACTGCGAAATTAGGTCCTATAGATAGAGGTACCATAATTAAGAAAATATTTTAATAAGGCTTAAAATGCTAATTTCACCTTGTGTGTAGCACACGAATTTCCAGGATCCTGAGATCAAACCCAATTGATGTTGAATCCTGGATTGGGAAACAGCTCTGGGATCTCATTACCCAGTTTAATAATGGAATTAGGTATTTACTAAGGACCAGAATGAAACCACTAATTCCAGTTTGCTTTTCAGAATTGCTAATCAGAATTTGAACATTGTCCTAAAGAAGTGAAAAGCTATTGGTGTATATATGTCTGTTATCCTTCCACTTCTGTAGTCCTGGTTAACCAGCTGCTATGTTAAGATACCACTATGTTTGGGGACAGACATTGCAGTAAAATACCAACACAACATTCTGACAATGTCAAATTTTGCCCCTATATTTAACAACAAGACTAAGTTCTGCCTTTGACTCACTGAAAGATAAGGTTGTGTATCAGAAGGCGAAGGCAGAACCTATCTTACTGTGTTTATGTGTGTATGTAAGCTGAGCAAGAATTTAAAGTGTATATTTACTGTTAACCCGGAAGAAGATAACACTAAATTCGTTAATTTTGGTGTGGTCAAGTATAACCACTGTCATGTGCATCATTCTGGTCTCCTGCAAATGCCACCTGAGATAAACATCAACATATCCTATGCACACACACACACACATACACACACACACAAGACAAACCAAAACCAACAAAAACAACAAAAAACAAAAGAGAAAGATGAAATGAAAGAAGGAAAGATAGAAGGAAGGACAAAAAGAAAAATGAACAGTCAATTCATCAAGAAATCAAAAGACGTTCCTTTGGATCACTCATGAACAGTAAATATAGAACCCTAAATCTCACTATGATGCGTGACTGTAAAGTACAGAACTGCAAAGCTATAGATAAAAACACTTCTTTTTAAAGACAGCAATATTTACATTAGTTATGACCGACAGAGAAGTTGAAGAAGAAGAAAAGTTTGCCTTCACTTTGTAGTGTTAGTGTAGAACAAGACTGTGCTGCTCTTTCTTACACACTGCTAATCCTCTCACTAACTACATTGGAGGGATTTACTGGGAGCTCCAAGCTCTCCACTTGCATCTCTATACCAGGCTCATCCTCATTGGCTTTCTTAATCACTGGTTCATTGGTATGCCGGTAGATGTTAACATTAAGCTCCCTTCCAGACAAAGCAGTGGCGGCAACTCTGGGAATCTGTCGGACTGGGGGCTTTTTTTCTGGCTTATACCTGCAACGCAAATAATTGGAGAAAGCCCTGCGGTAAATTTTGTTGAAGAGAGTGTACACCAGAGGATTAATTCCGGAGCAAACATAGCCAATCCAAACAAAAACATTCAGAAGCTTTTCCATGAGCTTTTGGTTACAGGTCTTCCCACAAAGAACCGACAAGATATTGGTAATGAAAAACGGGCACCACATGATCAGAAAGACAAAGAAAACAATCCCAAGGACTTTTGAGGCTTTCTTTTCATTGTTGATAGCCTGCATGGTGCCTCTAGGACGGCGTTCTTTCTTCTTCTTGGGGCGCTGCGGGTTCGACTCTTGATTCGGGTCAGCGGCGTTCTGAACATCCTCGGTATTCTTCTTGCAGCACTTGAAGAAATTGAAGTTTAGGCCCAGTTCAAATGGCTCCTCGGTGTGGCCGCGCAGTAACATCAGAGCTTGTCTTCGGAGGACGTACATCGTTAAGCAGTAGGTGATTACCATGATCGTCAACGGTATGAAGAAAGCTACGAAGGACCCAATGAGAACGAAGTTTGGGTCGTTCAGCACGCATGTAGTGTTGTTCATGAACACCTTGCTTTCATCCCTCAGTCCAATCACTGGGATAGGAACTGAAACACCTATGGGAATGAAGAGAAAAAGGTAGAACATTGTTATAGCACATTGAAAGGGTTCAATGGATTTGAATAAGTGGGATACTTCCAATTGCATTTTATTAAAAAGATATTATTTAGACCTAATTTTTGTTGAAAGCTATTCACAGCATAAATTGATGGTCGCACGAGACAGCAGTAGAATGACAATGACTGACTTGAGAATATCCTTGCTCACCAATTTCAATGCCTATTACTCGTATTAAGCTGTTGTACATATGACTGGGCCTAAGGGAAGACTGTGTCTGCTTTCCTCTATTTCCAGTTCCTTATAGAAGACACTTAGTAAATATTTCTTGTCTTCAGTGACCTTAATGAAGCCAATCGTTCCTTATTTGAACATTGCAAATTCCACATTCAATTAAACTATATGTACACAACCTATAAGTTGTACAGTGTATCAAGTGTGCATAATAGTGCATCAAGATGGTCTGGGAAGAGTTTGAAATGCGTTTATAGCTGGTAATGTGCGTTTGCACTTCCCCAAGGAAAGGGGTCAAGAAAAAAATTTATGCCTGAATTCCATGGATATATGAGAGAGAAGAGAGTGCAGGTGTCCAAATGTGCTACAGTGAGTAGTTATGCCTTATAAGCATAAAGAGTCTCTACATAAAAATGACAAGGGCTCTCTTTTTCAGTAAGAGTTTTAACATGAAATGCAGAGTGACCAAGAGATGCAGTTCTACCATTTTTGAGTAAAGACTGAGCATTTTTGTTCTTTGAGAATATTGAAAAGGAGTGTTTTCTGTAAGTACCTCCTTGAATTCATAGGCTTGCAGATGGAAAATATCACCAAGAAGGTGAGTGAGGTGGTAGATTTGAAGTGGTTCTCGGTCAGTAACTAGGTATAATTTGTAAAGGGAAATTCAAATTTTAACATCCATATGCTCTAGCTTATATCATAGGGATGCTGAAACTTGAGAGAAGTCACTTTTGAGACTCTATGAAAAATTATTAAGAGTGCTGAAGTAGTGCATTGATACACCACAGACTATGATAAGAAACAGAAGAGTCTCCTTGCTGCCTTTAGAGAATACCAGTGGGTTGTAATGAATCTGAAACATAAAAACCAGATCTGTTGCTTTAACATCTGTAGATTGGCACAGAACATTTGATTGGATTATCAAGAGGGGAAACATGATCATGTTTCTTTTTTAGAGTTTGCTGAGAATGTTCATCTATGTTTAATCTTTGGGAATATACAAGGAAGAAAAAGTGTGTGGAATTTCTAAAATGACTAGTTTCTTTTAAAGAGAAAGAGGTCAAGTGACAGTATGAAATTCAATAACAGATGTGACAAAGATTCCTTGGGATATCAGGTCTATGCCTGCAACTCTGAACCCAGCTATACCATTTAAGAAAGTAGAAAAGACTTGTGAAAATTATGAAACTCTGTGAACAGAATGTATCCTCAGTGTTCTCTTTAGCAGGATTGTCAGATCCTGGTAAAGAGACCTTTGCACCCTGGATGAGAAGAGTAACCATTTCAGAAGGGTAACACAGAAGGTAATTTCTCATCAAGTTTGAATGAAATGTTTGGGAGAACTTCATCAGGGCTTTAGGAACATAGAGAACAGCAGAGCCACAAAGGTTAAATGTCTTAAGGGTCATAAAAATGGTAGATTATAAAACGGACAGCTTTCTGTCATTAAAAGCCTTTATTTAAAAGTCATCAATAAAACAAGTAAATTTGTTATCAAGGACCTCTTTAAAGTGCTAAAGAGCAAGGGTGTCAGTTTAAAGACTAAGGTGTCCCTAATATCAAGGTCAGGACCTCCCATGGTATTTTTAATTGCTTCAAATGCATGTGAAAGCTGGACAATGAATAAGGAAGATGATGGAAGTCTTGATACCTTTGATTCATGGTGTATATTCAGAGTATTGAATATGCCATGTAGTCCTAAAAGAACAGACCAATCTGTCTTGAAGGAAGTGTATCCATGTGCTCCTTAAAAGCAACAATGGTGAAACTTCATCTCACGTACTTTGAGTATGTTTTCAGGAGGTAAATGTCCTTGGAAAAAGACATCGTGCTTGGAAAAGTACAGGGTCAGCAAATGAGAGGAAGACTCTTAAGGAGATAGATTAACACAGTGGGCTTGAGCATGATGGAGATTGTGGGAATGGTGTAGGATAGGGCAAGGTTTTGATCTATTGCTCTTAGGGTCAGTATGGGTCATAGTTGACTTGACAGCACATAACACAAATAGAAATAGTGCAGATCAAGTTTGCTAGAAAGAAGTCTTCCAGTTGGTTCTGACTCATAGCACTCATCTAAGAATAGAACTGCTTCAAAGAGTATCCAAGGCTGCAAATCCTTAAAGAACTAGACTGCCTCATCATTATGTAACAGCTTTTGTGTAAGAATTGCAAACCTTTTGGTCAGCAGTCAATTGACCTAACAACCTAGCCATCAGATCACATAAATCAGTACTCTGTGTGTATGTTAGGTGCCATCAAATTGACCATGACTATGACTTCTTACTACCCACAGTCCTTACTGACTGTTCCATCATTACTGTCTCTCATATACTCGAACCCATTGTTACAGTCAATCCATCTTGTCGAGGATCTTCACTTTTTCTGACTCTCCACATTTTCAACCATGATGTCTTTTTTCCAAGGGCTAGCCCTTCCTGACAACATGCGCAAAGTATTACCCTTAATGTAATGTTTTAGTGAAGGATTGCTGTTGTTGTTTTTGTTGTGTGCTGCCTAGTCAGAACTGACCAACAGCTGACCCACCACTGGGTTTTCTGAGGCAGTAAATTGTACACATCTTTCTCCCTTAGAGCAGCTGGGGTCTTCAAACTCCATATCTTTTGGTTCGCAATGTAGTTCTTTACCACTAAATCACTAGAGCTCCTTAGTAAAAGTTTAGGCTGTAGGAAATTTTCTAGAATTAAGTAAGCTAATGCCAAGAAATTTAGAAGACAGCTAGCTGGCCAACTGACTGGAAGAGATCCATACTTGTTCCCATTCTGAAAAAAGGTGACCCAATAGAATGTGGAAATTACCTAACAATATAGCACACAAGCAAAATACTGCTGAAGATCACATAAAAATGGCTAGAACAGCACACAGACAGGAAACTGCCAGGTGTTCACGTTGGATTTATAAGAGGTCATAGCAGCGGGGATATCATTGCTGATGCCAAATGGATCCTGGTTGAAAGCAAAGAATACCAAAAGAATGTCTATTTGTGCTTTCTTGACTATGCAAAGGCATTTGACTGCTGGATCATAACAAATTATGGCTAAAATTGAGAAGAATTTGAAACCCTAAACACTTAATTGTGCTTGTGTGAAACCTATACCAAGAGGCTACAGTGTGAACAGAGCAAGGGAACATTACATAGTTTAAAATGAGGAAAGGTATGCATCAGGGTTGTATCCTTTCTCCATACCTATTTCATCTGTATGCTGAGCAAATTATTCGAGAAGCTGGACTCTATGAAGAAGAATGTAGCAGCAGGATTGGAGGAAGACTCATCAATAACCTTCATTATGCAGATGACACAACCTTGCTTGAGGAAAGTGAGGAGGACTTGATGCACTTGCTGCAGATGTTTAAACATTCCAGCCTTCAATATGGATTACATCTTCAATGTCAAGAGAACAAAAATCCTCGCCAGTGGACTGATAGATGGAGAAAAGGTTGAAATTGTCAATGACTTCATCTTAATTGGAGCCACAATCCACTTGGATCCACAATCCATTTGGTACCAGTTGTCAGGAGATCAGGAGTTGTATTGTACTGGGAAAGTTTGTAGACATGGACCTCTCCAAATTCTTGAAGAACAATGATGTCAGCTGGTTGCCCTGGGAAAGTCTGTAGTTAGGGACCTCTCCAAACTCTTGAGGAGCAATGATGTCAGTTTGTTGCACGCACTTGGAAAGACTGTAGTCAGAGACCTCTCCAAAAATCGTGAGGAGCAATGATATCAGTTTGAAGACAAAGGTGTGATTGATTCAGGCCATGGTCTTTTCAGTCACTTGCTGTGCATCTGAGAGCTGAACAATGATTAAGGATGATGTAAAAAGAATACTGAATATCCCATGGACTGCCAAAAGCACAAATGTGTCTCAGCAAAAGTGCAGTCAGAGTGCTCCTTGGAGGCAAAGTTGATAGAAGCTTCATCTCCTGTACGTTGCATTTGTTGCTAGGAGAGCTTATTTCTTCTAGAGAGACATTATGCTTTGAAGGTGGGCTGATGGCAAAGGAGAGGAAGACCCTCAACCAGGTGGGTTGATCCAATGTCAACAGCAATGGGCTTGAGTATGTCAGAGATGATGAAGATGGCACAGGATAGGATAGGGTTCAGATCTGTTGTTCATAGGGTCTCTGAGTCATACTCAACTTGACAACACCTAACTACAACTGCAGCAATATGTCTAATATAGGATTGATCCACAATCAAACATCCATTATATGAGAAGTCAAGAAATTGAAAAAAATTGTTGCATTGGGAAAATCTGATGTCAAGGACCTCTCTAAAGTGTTCAAGAGTAAGATGTCAGTTTAAGACTGTGGTGAGCCTGATCCAAGCCATAACATTTTCATTTGCTTCTGATGAGCCAAAAATTGAACAGTGTATATGGATGAGCAAGTAGAACCAATGTCTTTGCATTGTAGTGCTGGAGAAGAGTACTGGATATCCCAGTAACTGCCAAAAGAGCAAAGAAGTCTGTCTTGAAGGAGTGAAGACAAGGTGCTCCTTAGAGGCAAGGAGGGTGAAACTTTGTGTCACATATCTTCTCAGGAGAGGCTAGTCCTTGGAAAAAGGGACATCTTCATGCTAGGAAAATCATGACGGGAACAGTAGTCATAGAAAGAGAGAAAGATCCTTAACAAGAGAGAATGACACAGTGACGGTAACAATGGACTTGAGCATATCAGAATTGGTGAGGACGGTGTAGGGTAGGACACCTAACAACAACAGCAACAACAACATTATGGGATTAAGA